CCGCGCGTTCAGCCCCGCTGTGTCCTCACCTAAAGAGTGTATTTTACACTGTGGACTTGCCCCAGCATCCGCGCGCGCATTGGCTTCCACCCCGTGATGTCTTTTCCCTCTCGCCGTGCGTGCATTCGTTTCCGCTTCGTGACGTCGCCTCCCTTTCTTTTTTTGTCCCTCACTCTCTCCTCTCTACACTTTCCACCGTTTTGTCTACAGACTGACAGCTTTCCCCAGTCCTAATGCTATGGTGCCTGGACCGCATCTTTGACTGGTGTGTTTAGCGTCCAATCCCGCCCATACACCAAAAGCAGTCCCGAAGTGGCAATAAATGACGTCACAGAAGCTGGAGTGTACTGCTGTCGTTATCCTAACAGTTGGTCGCATAAACTGTCGTTTGGATGCCGAAGCTTTCGTGAAGTGCAACACTGGAGAGAACAACGTGGCTGGGACACCGCTAAGATGGCGACAGCCTTGTATGACGTCGTCAGGTGGAATTCAAGCTTTTTTAAACAACACACCAAGGCACGGGCCTTGTGCTTTGGCAGAAACATCAAGGGGCGATAAAGGACCCTCTGGTGGTGACTTCGAGAAACTTCCTTGCCGGTTGGTTCGAAAAGTCGGGGCTCTCTCTCCTTTCGATGTTTGTGTAGGGTGCAAGTACTGGCCACTGGGTCAGTTCTTTGAGAAACGCAAGGGTGCTTGCAACCACAAGAAAGGGCTAGAGATGACAGTGAGGAAAAAAACCGGGCTGTTTCAAACACGCTAGCGTGGTTCTTTCTGGTTCCCTTTAAGTGGTATTCACACGGGGCAGAACTCCCTCATTTTGTTCCCCAGGAGGAGCATCATGTGGTAAGAATGTCACACCTTTGCGTGGAGCCGCGGTGACGTACATATCCCAGGGGGATGGTGGAGGTTTTGCTCGGGCGGTACAAACAGTCCCTGCCTTGGCGTGGGATTTCTTCGCAATTGGCAGTATTTTGTCTGCACGCATGGCAACTTGAGAGATTTTGCTCAGCAAGACAGTGGCTGTGGCATCGCAATCGTCTAACTTGTTTTAGCTTGCGCTGGTACTCATGTTGCAAGAGGCACCTGAGGGAGAGGGAGTCTTTGATAATCATCAAGGCCGTCCTCAAGCCGCTCCTCCTACAACTGGCTTTGGACACATTCCACATTCTTTGTGTTGCAAGTACCACTCATCTCTACTATAGCTGCTTTTCTAGCCTAGTGCAAATCAAGTCCATATATTGGTCGAAGCTGTCTTGTGTCTTTGAGAGGGTTTTAATAATCTCATTTTTAATTAAATCCTGAGATTAAGGCATTTGAGTGAGGGACATACTCACACTTGATCAACTAGATTCTCAATATTTTCAGAAGTGGCATCCTCGGGTCTGGATGCACTGTTACTCCGCAACAAGCAGGCTCTCTTGAGTCGACAAGAAAAAATCCAGCACCCTGGATGCTGTTTGAACCAGCACTCAGAAGAGCTGAAAAGCCTGTCAGGCGTTCACTTCCACGACAAACTGCTTACTTTCGGTGGCTTCATACCTGCTTGCTCAATGGTGGAGCTCCCTAGAGGAGATCAGTGGCATGTGCGCATTGACCCCGTAAGTGATGACGTCACAAAACAAACCGTCGCTAGTGGCATTGTCATGGACAAATGCTCGACATGAGGTTAAAATTTGACTGATAAAAAAGTTAACATTTTTTTCGTAAGTATTGTGTCTTCTCAATAGCTAATCATGAAGACTTTTTCTATCATCTTTGTGCCATATAGCTATGATAAAAGCCTGTAATAAAGTTTTACAACTGATGTTGCCTTGCTCGCAGACGACTTTGATGGCTTCGCAAGCCCAGTTTTGACCAGTGGTCCTTTCTGATGGAGCACATGGCTGCGTTAAATGAAGTTGGTGACGTGCGACGAAACTTGTATTCTCGAGGTCAACTTTCCGTGGGATTTCGAAAGAGTGTCCACGCACAGCTTTGATCGATGCTCGAGGTGCGCGAGCATGCCAACGCCTGCCCTTAGAGGCTTCTGCTATATTTGGGAAAGGTAAACAATAATAAGTTACGACGACGTCAAGTTTATTAACGTCCAAGTAGAGGCCAGTACAAGTTTTTAAGAAGTATGACGGCAAAGAAGCTGCTTCAGTGCATGTTCGTGTGATCAAACAAACAGTTTGTAGCAGATATACCTGATGTTTTTACTTGCTTCTTTTGCTAAAAACGGAAGAATCGGCAAAATTTTTTTTCACCGTAGTGGTTGCACGCAGATACGAAACACACTCCGATATTGCAAGCCTGCAAACAAAATCTAGGCTCTCGAGTTGCTTTTCACATTAGTCAAAATAATTGCTTCCTTACAATGCACGCTGATTGGAAAACCAAAAAGAGGGCCTGACGCTGCTTTGATGTCCTGTAAAGCAGATGCTTCTCTCGCTATACTTTTAGCAGATCTCCACACGTGGGATGATTTTGTATCAAACATTATCCAGTATTGCACGCAAATACAATTTGTCTTTTATAAACCTGGTGAGTATTCTTAGACCAATCAAATAAGTGCCAATTAAATACAGGATCAAAATCGTCTCACTATGCAAATTATTCAAACTGTTGCAGACTTCAGTCATTCCGCATGTGTTCGTCGTCTGGTGCAGGCATCTCGGGACGTCTTGAGGACCGTTAGTTGCCGTCGCAAATTTTTGAGAAAGAGTCAATCCTCGGCAAAGGTAAGTGTGAGATCCAGGCTTTGTATACCAATTATTTTTAGACATTTACACTTAGAGTCCGATTTTTGACCGATCATTCTTTCCGAGCGAAATCTAATCCCATGTATTGTGGGCACCCTAGCCGCTCCCCAGCTTAGCTGCCCGACTACGGGGCACAGGTGGCGAATTTTCCCGCGCCACCTTCATAAGGCGGTTCAGAGGCGGAGCACGGGCAGTCACTGCCTGAACTCCAGCGCCGCTGGTAACAATGTTAATGTATTGATTGTCTCGTCCATATCCAATTAAATGCAGTTCTTGTTGTAGAAATCGTTGGCTCCGTGTTGTTTCTGCGGGTCGGGTATGCAGCAAGGCAAATCCGACACGCAGAAACCGTATTTGGAGCAATGATGTCACACTTTTCAGCAGGAAGCAGTTTGTTGTTTTATGCATCTAACAGTGTTGCTGCCATAATCGCGCAGCGCCATTTCATGTACTCCTTTATTTTTCAAATCTTGTCAGTGCGCACTGTGCCCTGTTGTCAAGAGTGCGACCACTACCAGCCGAATGCAGCTCCCGAAGTTCCCGGGATGGCCAAAGCGTGGCAGATGGTGCTGGCTTCTCTTTCGTATGTCCATTCAAACAGCAGAGATGAAGTCGTTTCTCTATTCACCAGGTGCCAGACCTCTTTGCATGTATTTGCCACTGCATTCTTTTGCGCTGATATTGAAGTGGACTTTGGTCACCATAACATAGTGCGCGAGTCAATCACAAAGCCTCGTTTCCAACTGGATTGCGTAAAAGGGCACCAATGTTTGAGTTATGAGCCGTTTTGCTCCCTTGCCTTCCGGCTTCCAGATAGCTCCCCGATGAAGCGGTTTGCCGGCTAAGTAAGGGGAGCCTAAACTCAAACTTAGAATACTCTTGGCCCCGTGCTCGCGCTCATCATGGGCATTCATCCGAAGTTTATGTTTCAAAAACTTCATTTGACCACACCAAGAACAAACCTTTTTAAATTTTCACTGCTTCAGTTATCCATTTCAGATTGGAACCCATTTTCAGAAAATATTATCAATATTCAGGAATCATCTGATTTTAGAGCTGCACTTGCCACTTTTTTTCATACTCAGCAATGACATCTCTATGTTTTCCATTTCTTTAATATTTTTTGAGTATGCCCCCCTTATGTAAAGCCCTGGGAGCTTTAAGGGTTATTAAATCAAATTATATGAAATCCCAGAAGAACCACAGAAGACTAAGACTGGATTTACCAATCCCCCGAAGCACAGATTCCTAATCCAACCTGCAAATTCTCGTAAAAAGAAAGTCGCTGACTTGCGGGTTTGATGTGATCGGGACTTGGTAGAGAGTTATTTCGATATCTCCGATAACGGTACCCGATGACGATACGATGCATTCCCAAAGGTGTCGGCGGAGTATCGGGTATTGTTATCGGAGTCGCTGGAATACTCTGAGGAGCCAGACAATGTTAAAATGGAGATGTGCTTCCCTTCCTAAGAGGCTTTCTACAGGGCCAGGGGGGATAGACGTCTCAGCTGGGAGCATGGAGCGAAAGCTTGCACTGCAGAACCTCCTGGGTTCGATACCCACCTGCTGCCCATTACCATCGGGATGAGTTTCCTATTGGTACGCGTTCGTGTAATCACCACAGCATGGTGCAAAGTTAAGCACCCCAGGTTAGCGGTTGTGTTGCACTGGCTAAGACAAGTGGCTGTCTAAACAAACATCAAACAACACAATTTTTTTTGCTGTTTTCGAGGCAGTCCATGTGGAAAGCGGCCAACCTTGCCCGACTCCGAAAGCAACCCGACGATGACGCCAGCTCGCGCCCAACATCGAAGGGAACGATTTGCAACAGCGCTTCCTCCAGGTTTATAGAGAACCCAATACTCTAGTCGAGATGGCTCGGGTGAATGAGTCGAGCGACAAAGGATCGGGAGGCTGGCCCAAACGCGAGCCGAATGCAAAATAAGCCTTTGTCTCGGACGGAGACGCAACCGAACGGGAGAAAGGCAGAGCCAACGACGAGGCAAGTGTCGGTCGTCGAACAAGTCGTTGCCTTTCACCAACGGGACGGGGCAAAATAAAAACAACTCCGCGGAGGGGTGTGCCGCCGATCGCGTGTCGGAGGGAGGGAGGGAGGAACGCCCGACAAAGTTTACACAAAGAGCTCGGTTTGGAGCCGCTGGTTCAATCGCTCAATGGCGAGAAGAAATGCAGGGGCGGCAGGGGCGGGAAAGGAGACGGGGGAGGGGTATTGCGAGAACTTTCTCCGCCACTCACCTCGGAAGAATTCCGCCGACCGGGGTCCTGCGAAAAGGGCAGATGCAAAGGCGGCTAGAGTAGCGCGCAGCAACGGTAGCTGTACTTTTCCTTGGGCGGCAGAACGTTCATTTCGCGTACGATCTCGGCGAACATCTCGTTCACGTTGCACCTGCTTTTGGCCGAGGCCTCCATGCAGGGGCAGCCCCATAGCTGGGCCAGGGCCTCCATCTCTGCGACGGTCACCTCGCGCTGGTGGTCCAGGTCGCACTTGTTGCCCACCAGAAGCACGGGCACCCGGTCGGCGTTCTTGACGCGCAGGATCTGCTCCTTCATGTTCTTGATGTCCTGGAAGGTGTGGTGGCTCGTGATGGAGTAGACCACCACGAAGCCCTGGCCGTTCTTGATGTACAGGTCCCGCATGGAGGCGAACTGCTCCGTGCCGGCCGTGTCGAGGATCTCGAGCACGCAAGGGGCCTGGTCCACCTCGATCTCCTTGCGGTAGAAGTCCTCGATGGTCGGGTCGTACTTCTCGGTGAAGACGCCCTGCACGAACTGCACCGTCAGGGCGCTCTTCCCGACCCCGCCGCTGCCCAGCACCACAACCTTGAACTCGCGCATCACGACGCCAGTCGCGGCATGACGCGCGCTGGCCGGAGTCCCGCCGGTCCCAAGACGAAGCGGCGGTGCCTTCGGGTCCCGCCCGCTAGGCCTATTTTCCCCGATCGGTCGTCGGGACTCGTCCGCGCTGCTGCTGCCTACCGCGCACGCAACGGCACGGGCTCGTCGCCGGAGCACAGCATGGCCCGTGTCACCTGCGCGCTGACAACTTGCTCGCCGGCGGGCGCACAAAGTAAGCAGCGGCACACTGACTCATAATCATGCAAGTGGTCCCGTCGTCCCAAGAACGAGCCCTTCTTGCTGGCTCCTCGTTCCCGTCTCTCCACTGCTCTCCAATGGGGTACGTTCGCTTTTTCCCGTCGCCGCCGGCCGCGACCAAGTGACGTCACCTCCGCATATCGGAGTGACTCTACCGACTCTACGTGCGCAGTGAGCGAGCGCGACGCTCAACGTTAGCGACGCTCAACACTTGGACAAGTACTGCTAGTGAAAACATGGTAAGGGTGCCGGCAATGTACTGTTAATACTGCTCTCGCAGTACTAGCAGTACTTTGCAACAAGCTTGGCAGCGCGCGCGCGCGCGCGCAGGCGTGTTCTAGGAGACAGCGAAAAACGATAGCAGACGATGGCTCCTTTGAATGAATGGACATTAATAGCTATTTCCTTTGCAACGGGCGGTAGCTTGCGCCAGCTAGCTGTTGGCAATCTGCACTTTTGCTGACCCCCCCCCCCCCCCCCCCCCCCGTCTCAAAAGGGGTTAGGTACCGCCAACTAACTAACTAACTAACTAACTAGACAAATATGATTCTTCCCTCTCTCACCAGCCAAGCAGTGTTTGGTACTTGGTATTTATTTGCGCTCGTGCGCGCAGGCGCCACCCGGATGACCTGGGATTATTTTCGACATTTCTTTCGTTTTTTTCCCCCGGCAAGGGAGTCGCCAATTCTCCTCTGGTCAAAGCTTGTCGGCGTTACCCCAGTACCGGACCTACCGGGAAACAGGTTGAGACTTTGGGCCACAGCACTGGGCCAGAGCCTCACGGGAGGAGGTCCGAAGTTTCTTTGCTGCTGCTCTGCTGTTGCCAAGGCAGCTATTTCAATCAGAAGGGATCGTCTCAAACAGCTGAGTTCGAGACGTTCCCTTCTTTGTCTGTTCCTTCGACTAAATTTTTTTTTTTCCTTTTCTACATTACTGTTTTACGTGTTAAACGACATGGTTAGGTACCACCAGCTGGCCTAGCTGGGCACTTTTGAAGTCTTTATATATTTCAACATGCGGCCGGTGTCCGTTCTTTCCTTCGGTAGTTTGCTCTTGTGCCGTTTTTCAAGCACGGGACCCATAAGTTTATTTTCTTTCTTTTGTTTTCGCAAGTTATATGGACCGCAACGGATGCTTCGAGCGACAACGCTGCACTGCGAACGTGCGTCGATCTCACGAGGGTCACGTGATGTCGTCTGCAGTCCATCGCGGAATACAAGATTTGAGAGGCCTCTTTTTCTTTCCAACTTTACTTTTTCCCTCTCAACTGGAAAGGGTGTTTAAAGAAAACACGAAATGTCGGCGGTTTCGTGCATAGGAACAATTGCGACCCGTGAAGCATTTTGACACAGTTGTGCAGCTCGTTCCTCCGTCTGCCATTGTTTTGAAAGCATGAAGTAGGTCGACTTTACCCACACCGGCCAGCGCGAGCGTGATGCGGTAACGGTAGTGGCAGCCTACCGACTTTATTCCGTGTCCATTCGGCCTCACTTTTCTCTTTCCTCGGTAACCTTTGCTGATGCCAAAAATAGAACGCGGACGCTGCGCTCGTACCCCCACCCCCCCTCCTCTGATTGTTTTTTTTTTTGGGCTCTTCAAAGTAAACAAAATTGAAACCGAAATCGAGACCAGCGTTTTCTAACGTACGGGCGGCGGCCTGCGGGGAAAATCCCGTTGTTTGCGTTCACTCGATGACGTAGTCGGGGAATTTTTTTCCGCCAATTGCAACATGGATATCCGCACCATTCATTCCAGGAAAGAAAATATATAATTACAATAACGGTATTCACAGATATCCTTGCACCGCGTCGATTCACCACAACTGAGACAGAAACGAAACAATTTTTCCGCATGTTTAACAAAACAAAAAAAAAACATAGAAAAAACATATATATATATATTGGAGGACAATAAGACGACGCGTACAGAGTGCCGATCCTCAACCGATTTATTGGAAGAAAACACAAATCGACAAGTATCACGGATCATCAAAAACCTCCCCTCCCCTTCTTCCCCCCCCCCCCCCCCCCCCTCACGTGTCAAACCTGCTCAAGAATGCCAACTTTTTGTTAAATAATACAATAAAAGGGGAAGTGACGTGCCTACCCCCTTGCTTCGAAATATAAAAAAAGCTTCTGAAATTTTTCTAGTCATCTGTCGACTGTGTTGTCCTAAAATACTCGTTTTATACAGAACAGGTTTGCAACCGCATCTATCGCAGTGTTTGGGGTATCTTAGGACGACACAGTCAACAGATGACTAGAGAAATTTTAGAGGCTTTTTATATTTCAAACCAAAAAGATAGGTGTGTCAGTTCGCCTTCCATCTCATTATTTGACAAAGTGTTGGCATTCTTGAGCAGGTTTGACACAAGGTTTTTGATGATCCGTGATGCTTGTCGACTTGCGTTTTCTTCCAGTAAATCAGTGGAGAGTCAGCGCTCTGTTTGTACACTTCGTCTTCTTGTCCTCCTCTTTTTTGGCGCTGTTTTACTTTTTCGTTACATACCACCAACTCGTCCAACTTTCTACCATTTTACAATTTTTTTGCAATTTGAAAAATGCATCAAAAAGCTGATCACATGAATGCATACCACCCCATAGTTACGAATACAATTAAAGGGCTGCATTACCAATCGCGTGTTCGCAAAACCCACAGTTCATGTCAGTTCGAGCCCGCAAAAATAAATTTGTTCACAATATAGGGCGTTTTCACATGATGTCAATCCGCCATTTGTTGTTAGAGTAAGTCAGTGAGGAAATGTTTTACCATTATGTATCAGAAAAAAAGGTGTGGCGAACCTTACACAAGCTTTTGTGCACTCCTGAATTGAGGATGTCCTGCAAATCTACGCAATACTCACTTTCAGCACGTGCCAGACAACTCATAACACAATGGTGGATGGCTTGAAGCCGAGCCTGTTGGTTCATGCTTGTTAAAATGCCAGCTGAACATTTGAAGGACACTTACACAGATACAAACAAAAAAGCAGACACACCTCTGGACTAGCAACTATTTTAATGAAATCTTCTTTCTTTTTAGTCTACATATTACGTTAAACAGATTCTTCCTCTTTTTCTATATAACTGAACCTTCGTGTTCTTTTTTCTATATATCTGAACCTTCGTCGTCTTCTTTCATGTGCATTGCCAACATCGACATCCTGGCAAAAAGTTGCACCAGGGTTGCTCTAGAAATTTGCGAGGACCTTGCTATTGACGCAAGGGAGAAAACTGCGCGAGTGCACCGTAAATCGCGCTTCACCACAAGGAACTGGTATACCTGCGAAGAGCTGCACACTTGGCAGGCACATGAAAGAGGAAGACAAAGGCTCAGATATATAGAAAAAGGAACAGAAAGGTTCAGATATATTAAAAAATAGGAAGAATCTGTTTAACATAATATGTAGACTAAAGAGAAAGAAGATTTCATTAAAATAGTTGCTAGTCCAGCGGTGTGTCTGCTTTTTTGTTTGTCTCAGTGTGTGCGTCCTTCAGACGTTCAGCTGGCATAAATAACAATGGTGGACGAAATTATGTCAGTGAAAACACCATGTTTGAAACCTGATGCATACTAATCAACTCGGGTCACTATCATTTCATCGACACTCGTTATGCGAATTGTACGCTGCAGGGACATTTCGTCGCCCATGTATCGCTGGGGCATGTGTTAACCTACCCGGTCCAGCCATTCACGCTGCTTCGTGGTGACAGTCTGCCACGGCTCGTCACAAAAATGTTAAACCACATGGCCCATTCGTTCATGCCGCTTCGTGGCGACAGTCCGAGGCGGCTCATCACAAAAAGAACTAATCTGAGCTATCGATGAAACATCACGTGTCAATGAAGCGAACGCGTAACTGAAAAAGCACCTAAAAAATATCTGGACACTAGAAAGAAGGACCAAGTGCAGGGTGCAAGATAGACAGGTGGGGAAACGGCCCATAGAAGTCTACCGTTGCGCCGTGACCGGATTGTGTACTCGTCTGCTTGCGGGTACCCCCAATTTGCGACAGATGGCACTGCGGCCAGAGGAAAAAAATCGGAATCGGATTTGCATGGAACTCTATGGGAGAGTGCAGAAAATAAAACGAGCACGACAGTCCTCCATTGAAAATCCACGAGAAACCATCTCCGTCAGTTTAGCCGGTCGCCAAAGGTCGCCCACCCGGAGTGAGAGTTCGCGGTGCTCCACATAGATGGCGCCACAGAAAGAGAGAAAACCGAGGGGGACACAATCCGGTCGCTCATTTTGCTCTTGTTTCCCCACCTGTCTATCTTACACCCTGACCAAGTGCTTGTTCTGTGTCCACATATTTTTGTCTTTTCTCGTGTCTTCGTATATTTTAGATAAAAACTCGTGACCAGATTGCCACCAAATCAACCCTTAAAAAAACAAAACCCCCCACCCCCCCCCCCCCCCCCCCCCCCCCCAAAAATTTGTGAGATGTTTTTCCATAAGCCTGATGTGCAAATGTACATTTCAGATAAGCATTCCTTACATTTAAAAGTATTACCAAACTTGTTGCCACAGCTCATCATGTTCAAGCAGGAAGTTCCCAATGTGAAAGAAGGCAAGTATAGGGGACCTATGTGTGTTGTGTGAAAAAAAGCTAAAGAAACTTCTTTTAAGGCAGACAAGTTCTGAAATGGAAAAGAAGACCACAAAGACAGATCCTCCATCCTTCAAAAAGTACTGCTGCTCATACCGATGAGTGTCAGTTTGTTCAAACGATTTACATCAGGGGATGGCATTTTCTCTCATTCCCACATTCCCAAAGGGCAGGCACGCCATGCACAAACAAACTTATTTCCAATCCATAAAAAGAACAGCAGCATGCCAACATTGCTCAGCCTCACAGCGTACACAGACATGGGTCTCAACAGTGTGTCAGAGAGGTACAATAAAAAAGAAAGAAATCTTGTCTACACACCAACACGCGGCTACAACGTCATGCTGCTGTAAGCAGTACAGTGCAGCAAACAGCAGTCTGTAGACACATGTGGGAGCAGTCAATGTTTCACCTTTAAGCTTTGACGTGGAGCGAGTCGCGTTTAAAATTTTAGCACGGCATTTGGGACTTGCTACACTACCAACGTTTACGGCCC